TCTCTCATCTACGATGATACGTACACAAACGCAAGTCGAAATTAAAAATTCAGAAGGAAGGAAACCATACATCTTTTTATGCTTTTTATGCGTTAGATTGATCAAAAGATCATCGTAACAGACTCCCACAGGTACCGGCGCACTTAACCACTGGGCAGTGATTGAATATGCCAAAATAAAAAAAAGGTGGATAAAAATTTGTTCCAAAATGATCAAGCAGTTGGTTTTTGTTGGGAATTTTTCAGGAAACAATGTATTTTTTAAAAATGGCAACACTCAAAATTTTTTCTTGATCATATAATAAAAGAGCGATTACACTTTCAGCGTTTCTTCTCGAAAGAAATAATTTTCTCTTAATGGAGATATTAATTATTGCTATATAAAAAGTAAAAAATTATATTAAGGAGTTTGGTGAACAGGAGTATGCTGTTGACAGTCGGCTTGTTTTACTCATTAGTGGACGGTGTGCGTGAGGAGGAAATGACCACTTGGACGGTCTTCAAAGAGAGTGATATACGAAAAACAAGTACCCACTACAAGCATGAAGCTTTGAAAAAGGGAGGGCCAGGCGAAGTTGTGTCCGACGTTGCGAACATTTCAGAAGTACCAGTGAAATTGGATTTACATTCTGCAACAATGTTTGACGAATTTGGCGGATTATTGAAGAAGCTAGAAAATACTTTCTAAATTCAAAGTGCTATTGCCTCCAGTTTCCACTTTTTTCTGCTCTGGAAAATATATTTTTTGAATCACAACTGACGTTACACATTTTGAATAGAAATGAGACGACTCTCTCTCCGACTAACATGAGCTGGATTAGTCTTGTTTATGGTCACTCGGGTGAGGATGATGATGAAGGGAGATGGAGTGGAAGAAAAACCAGATCCAATTTTTTCACCTCAACGACAGTCCGTGTGTGTGTGTGTCTTTGTATTTGTACTGTTCCAGCTGTTTGTTTTGTCGTGCACGCTGCAAGATCTCAAATTATTCGCGATATAATTAAGAAGCGAATGCAAACTGAACTGGTAGTTGCAGTGGTAGTTTGAGTATCCACTGGGAAGTGCGCGATCCCGGCGAAGACAGCAGCTCGGTTCAGAAATCATTTCATGGTCACCATATCACCTATTTGTCCCCTCAGTCCCTCAGTTACACTGCCCCGTCCTCCCCCTGTCGTATAACGATGCCAGTTAGAAAGACAATGTACGATGCTGCTGTATGCAAGTATTAGAATGAATTGTGGAATTTGCGAACGGAGAGGGTGGAAAGAGGAGGCCACTCAGCCTGAGAGACCGGACTGGCTGGCATTTCCGATCATCACCGATTGGAGTGATATGGGGAAAGTTCAAGGACTCCTCGTTTGTGGCGGCCAAAGACAACAGTTCTAACTCCGCACCGAGTAATCGAACGGATACCAATACAAAACCAATATACACATACACACATGCGCACACAAATGTAAACACACACACACACACACA